CACGTTCGTCGGCATGGGCTCTTTGTTGTCAGGTTGCTGGGACCAACAAGTGCTACCAGTTTATCGAAGTCAGGGGAGCTTGGGGGAGAGCGCGCCAAAAGAAAAGTGCCGCCCCCGCAGTTCAGACGGATGGAAGCTTCTAGAAGCTTCCACAGCCGTCCTACATCTGCCTGTTTATTATTTACAATACTATACATTGCATAGTACTACTAACCACCCATTGCAATAAGATAATGTCACTCAATCGGACACATTTGGCCTTTGCAAGAATCTACAATGTAAGCATACCGGTACATATGGGCCTCCGCATACTAGCAAAATGCTGGTCATCATGGCGTCCAGAAAGACCTTGTCCCTGTCGATTGTATACCAAGTAGACTCCTCGCACGCAGTGTGCTCTCTTATACCACCTACCTGCCTTGTACACATGATCTAGACGACCGTCAATCCGGAGCCGACGGAAAAGGTTGCCGAGTGGCGCCGTCCAGAGCTCATTTCCCATTCTCCTCACTCGAGCTCACATCGAACAGCTCTCGTGCATTCAAAGGCTGTCCAAGAACACGCAAGCGCAACATGCTCAGCAGTAGCAAGATCGCCGCCGTGTGTCTCGCCGTCGTGGGCGCTAACCAACAGCGCGTATGCTGAGAAGGAGGGCCGCCCAGACGTTCGGACTGCTTTGGCGCTGGTCTGCACGGTGGTGCGGGACTCTATGGAGCTGGCGCTGCCGGTCTTCATGGTGGAGCCGGCGTTGGTGCTGGTCTGTACGGTCGAGGTGCCGGCTATGGTGGTGCTGGTGCTGGTCTGTACGGTCGAGGTGCTGGTGGCGTTGGTGCTGGGCTGTACGGTCGAGGCGCCGGATATGGTGGTGCTTGTGCTGGGCTGTTTGGTCGGGGAGCCGGCTACGGTGGCGCTGGTGCTGGGGTCGGAGCTGGCGTTGGCGGTGCGGGGCGTCGGTAACGGATACGGCGGTGCTGGTGTCGGAGGAACTACGGGTGTCGGTGCTGGTGCCGGTGTCGGAGGGGGTGTGGAGTGGTAACGTCGGTGCTGGCGTGGGCGTGGGCGGTAATGCTGCTGTCGGCGCTGGTGTGGCCGGGGCTGCGAACGGTGAGTGAGTACCAGTGCTGATGTCGGCGCGGGAGTGAGTGGGAAACACTGCCGCTGGCGTCGGAACTGGAGCGAGTGGGAGGGGCTAACGCGGGAGGGAGGGCCGATGCTTGGTGTCGGGGGTGTTTTCTGCGGAGACGGGAAGGATGGGAGGAGGGGGCAAGTACTAGTGGCGGGGGGTACTACGGCAACGCACGGGCGGCGAGAACTGGGGATCTAACGTTAGGAAAAGGAGGG